TGTGTGTGTGTGTGTGTGTGTGTGTGTGTGTGTGTGTGTGTGTGTGTGTGTGTAGCATGTGTGTGTGTGTGTGTGTGTGTGCGTGTGTGTGTGTCTGTTCGTGGATGTCTTTGCATTCATATGTTCCCTCTCTATTTGATCACCAAATGGCATTGCCCTCTCTCTCTCTCTCTCATTCTTTGTGCGCGTGCGCGTGCGCGCGCGCGCTTGTGTGTGTGTGTGTGTGTGTGTGTGTGTGTGTGTGTGTGTGTGTGTGTGTGTGTGTAGCATGTGTGTGTGTGTGTGTGTGCGTGTGTGTGCTCATGGATGTGTGCATTGATATGTTCCTCTCTAATTAGACACCAAATGCCATTGCTCTATTTCCCCCATCTTCAGTGGCTGTGAATAATGTTTTTGAGGAGTTGGTGTCCACTGCATCCTGGTTGGAGCGAAAGCTGCAGATATACACAAGTAATACATTTGAGTAGTGTACTGATGAGTTCGCCTACACCGACAAGCAGTGCCTGAGCCCTCAATAGGAGAAAGAGGTTACGTCGTAGGCTATTTAGTATTTACTATTTACCAATCTCAACCATGAATTAAGATGAGAGGTTAACTGTGGATAGGAGCGAGGCACTGAGAGATAGGGACGATCTACGGAGTGCGAAAAACAATCAATTCCCAATGTTTAAGAAGTAAGAGACGTTATTCGATCAGAGAAAGAGAAGATGGGAGACATTTCATATAGGACAGACACTTGATAGTAGTAAGTTGCTGCTGCTGCGCCTTTCGTTTGTAGCCGGTGTGTCGGCAGATGTTCAGCAATGACTGAGAATGAGTTGGTGCCTTTCGTTTGTAGCCAGTGTGTCGGCAGATATTCAGCAATGACTGAGAATGAGTTGGCAGATGAAGACTGCACAGGGAAGGGCATCGAGATCATGGTGCAGAAGGAAGCAAGTTATAGGACTGTTTTCAGTTCGAGCTGGTTAGAAGAGAGATGGCAGCTTAAAAGAGGAACCCAGTCTTGAGCCGGTGACCTAGAGTTAAGAGCTTGGCATCGAGGGCTGCTGTGATGTGCCAGTTCCTCCTCACCGTGTTACCTTCCTTGCGGCAAACTCGTGTTCAAAAGAAAAAGGAAAAGAAATTAAAAATATCAAAGAACTAAAAACCATTTTTAAGTCCTTCAAGACATGCGTTAAACTTGGAACTATACAGAGAAGATTAGCATGGCCCCTGCGCAAGGATGACACGCACAAATCGAGAAGTGGTCCAAATTTTAAAAAAAAATTAAGAAAAAAAGCATGAGGAATTGCAAAGGTAGGATTTTAAAGCACAGTTTCACAAGTTTTTCTGCCCCCTTGTCGATTGGTAAATCAAGTCTAATTGCGACTTTGGTGGTGTTGCCTTTTTTTTCTCTCTGAATGTTACGTGTATGCAGTTTACCTGTGCAAGAGGCTGCCCGAGGGGGATTTTCACGAGCGGTGAGGTGCATGAAGGAACCTCTGACAGTGGAAATAATGGCGAGAGCGTGGGACGATTGTGCAAGGAGAGCAGTTGCGGATAATGCTGCCTGTTATGGCGGTGGATCCTTGAGTACGCATATTGGTGTGTGGTGCACGGCTCCATAGGCAATATATGGCGAACAACTCCAAATAATATGATTGCTATTCAAGTCTTGATAAAATCATCTTTGATTGCATGTGTTGCAGTTTCGCCTCACACAGCACAGCTTGGAGTATATTTTACCTGTCGATGCTTTTGCAGTCCGGTGCTGAAGAACGATGCAAGCTGAAGCAATAAGGATTTCCTGCTGGCTGGCTGATTGACGGAGTCTTAATCAGCTGTACTTGGAGTCGCAGCAAAAGATCGAGTCGCATCCTTTACGACCCACTGGAGAGGGGATGTAGTATTGGCATCCTTTTTGTGAATGACTGAAGCCCCTTCTCTTACTGTAAGGTGGACCTACCCAACCTGTTTTGCATTGCTTTATGTATGTTGATGTGCTGAAGTGCGTGGATCGCCTATTTTTTTGCTCTGGACTTGCGGGGAGAAGCGTGTCGACTACGCACAACGGGGCAAAGAAGAGGTGATTCAGGTCTCTTTTGGTGGGGTGAACACAGTGACCATCCTTCCATCATTAGCAGTGCTAGTTGGGGGAGATATCCACGTGATTATGAGTCGAGAAAGGCAGGCACACTCTCCATGGCTTGTTGCTTGGTTGAGCTGCCTATGGAAACCAACGTGGTTGACTCTTGTTAGCACAACTTAGCAGCACGTCTCGCACCAGCATCGAAGCCACAACGGCGGAGGTGGACCGTTTACGTAGTGAAAGCGTGGTGCTGTGAAGATTGTTTTTCCAGGTCTTCACTGCCCGATTGTCTGTGAGCTTGTTTCAAGCATGTGGCCAACTCCATGGGTGCACTCCTTCACTGCCCTGCAACAGCCGAGCCATGTTTTCTCTGTTGTGTTCTACTTGCAATGCTGTAAAGTTGGTCTCGGTACATCAGATTGTCCCTGTTTCTAGCCTGGATTGCGCTGATGTAAATACATGGGGCCATTAATATGGTCTTCCCATTAGTTGTCCAGGTCTCATGAGGCAAGCTTTTTGCTGCTGTCTTGTACGAGGGGAGACTGGGGAGAGGTAGGGGGGATGCCCACATCATTTATGACCATCATCGACCTGGGACATCACCTCCTCTGATCACCAAGCCACCCGCGGCTCCCTTCCCGGGGGATACTTACTCTATGACAGGTTCATCTGGTGAAGTTGAGGGTGAATAAGTCAGCATCAGGCGATGCTATGCGTTCTTGCCTCTTTAGATGTCATACGGAGGCAAGATGTTGAGAGAGTATACGGAGGCGCAAGGTCTAGCTCAGCTTGCTTCTTACGTCTCCCTTCCCAGGATCACTCTGCGGACAGAAGTATGACCACTTCCTTGCCGTTCGTCTGCATAATTTATGGCCGCAAACAAGTGAGTGGGGCCTGCAGCACTATGTCGGTGCTTCTGGGTACACACATTGCCTGGGAAAGAGATGATTCATCCAGTGACTTATGGAGAATGTGCAGACGTTCACCTCGCACATCCACGCGTTCCCCATTCTCGTACACAGACTGGTTGCGTTTATTGGAGGCAGAGGGGCAGTCGAGGAATTGCTGAGAATAGGGTGCATGGGTGTCGGTGAAGAGATATCGCTTATTCTTTTGGAATTTTAGTTGAGAGTCGATGTGGTTGAAGCAGTGACCAAACTCCCATTGACTTCTAGTTGCAGAGATAATTCGACCTAGTTGCGGAGACAGTTCATCCTCAAGTAGACGTCGGTCCTCACTTGGTTGTTTATTTTTAAATCAGCCTTTATTCCTTTTCAGGGTTCATCTGGGACTCGAGCCAGGAGTCGCTGCGGCATGCAGGACTGCCTTGCATAGTTTTCTTCCGTTTAGTGGAGTGTTTACTCTAATGGCAGTGATTGATTGACAAGCACAGCTTCGACCCATGCAATCTGTTAAAGCGGCCTTTTGTTATGCGTCTCTGGTCAGTCATCGTACTCTGTTGGCTGGCTTCAGGGGCCGTGTCCCACCTCTCTGGTTATCTGCTTAGCTAGCCTGCATCACCAGCCCTAATACACGTGCAGCGCCCGTTAGTGGCAAGCGTAAAGGAGCGTGATTCACCCAAGGAAGAAGTCAAGTATCTGTATCTACTGGTCTTGTCTCCAAGGTGATGACCTTGTTATTGTTGTTTCGGTAGTCTGGTGATTGTAATGCTGTTGCAGAGAGCACATTTGTAGTTCCAATGACAGCAAAGAAGAGCCGTCACTGAACAGCCTCCGTCGAGTAATTTGTAGGGAACACAGTCCACTACCACAGCAGTGGTAATTGATAGTCTGTGCATGGAATGCGGCATGCGGAGCGTGGTCGAGGCAGAAGTGGACATAAGATGAATGCTATGCAGCAGCAGCTTTTGTGGAGTGTTCTGCTGATGACACCTTGAAAAGCAGGCAACCACGCAGAGCAGGTTTGGGGATGTGCGCAAAATGTGATGGGTCTTCTGTTCTCAAGCTGGTTGCTGCGCTTTCACTGTTACAGAATTCTTTTGGCAGTTCACTTGTATTTCCGCGCCTGTGGATTGGTCACTGACGTGTGGATGGTGAACCGCCTGTGTTCACGGAAGTGCGAGCAGTGGTGCGGGCCTTTCAGCTGTGAAGTCGCACATTGTGCAGTGCGGAACCCAGCTAGCTGCTTATGGCACATTGGTGGGGACCGCAAGACAGCTCAAGATGTGGTGTCCATAACTCTATGCAAGGGGTCTTTAATCAAGGAAAACTTCATTCTCTGTTTTCCATCTTGTGAATTGGTGGGTTTGCGAGGGTATTGACGGTGGATGCTGACAGAGTTGAACGCAAGCCGGCATACCTGATCCTTGGTGACTTTGCGAGCGTATTGACGGTGGATGCTGACGGCGCTGAACGCAAGCCGGCATACCTGATCCTTGGTGACTTTGCGAGGGTATTGCACCGACCCTCGGTGAGTTTGCGAGGATATTGATGGTGGATGCTGACAGCTTTGAACGCAAACCGGCATACCTGATCAGAACAGCAGGTCTGGTGTATCGGTACAGGTGCAGTGTTTGCCGACCGATTGTTTTGTTAACCAGAAGATGGGAGCCTTTGTGTGCTGCAGAGAGCTGAGTAAGCAGATTAGCACATCTGCATCTGGACCTCATTCTGGTTGAGAGAGTCGAGGAGGTGATGAGAGCATGCTTGCGGAAGCATCTTCGGGGTGTGTGGTCTTGAAGCTGTTCCTAAGGTTCAGTTTCTCCTGGAAATGGTGCAGCGTTCGGATGAAGCCAAGACGACATCGGTAAGGTTCATCGAATGCACTCCCACGCCCTTTAGCATTTTTTTATTTCCTGTTTAGGAAAGGCGTTATTGGCACTGGTAAGGTGGCAAGGAACGGGGATGTGAAATTCTTTCTTCGTTCCCCTTCCTTCATTTTCCAGGGTGGGCATGTGGCTTGTTCTGATCTCTCCTGCCACTCCGTACTGAAGGATATAGCGAAATGGAATGTGGACGCGTCTTTGGTCAAAAGTGTTTGAGAGGGTGAGGATTCCCCACAGCATCAGCTATTGCTGTCGATGGGCAGGTGCAAAAGTATGTATGGATGGGGCACGCATGCATCGAGAAGCGGAGCCCCTGGTTGTCTTTTAGTCTGTTGAATAAAATAATGCATAGGTGAAGCCGGATTCTGAACCGGCATTCTGGCATGTATTCCCTGGACATGGGAACTACTTGTCGTGCTGCGGAGATGTCAAGTCGGTACGAAACATAGGTAATCGTTATGTCAGCTGTGTTGGCCCTCTCCTTCCGTCTTCTCTTTAGCAGACGTGAGCCTATTACGAAGGCTGGGTTGGGCAAGTTGAAGCGAGGGACATATTGGGAGAAAGAGTGGCCGTGTGTCTTGTTGGTGGGGTGGGAGGGGGGAGGGGGGGGAGTGGGAGTGAAGAGGGGAAGTCGTGACGAAGCAGTACGAGCAGTACCGAGGAATGCCCGGGGAGGGACACAAGCGTTTCTCTCGATTTGTTGAGAACGATGCTTTTTTTTTTCTTCTTCTTTTTTCCCTGGTTCCCTTTTTCCTATCTATTGTTTTGTCCCTTCTTCAGCTAATTTGTGTTGGCAAAAGAAGGGCTTGAGAAAACGTGTGACCTTGATCACTATTGTGAGCGAGACTCTGGTTGGGGATCAGCAGTTGCATGCTGAAAAACTAGAACAGGTGTCTCTTGCTAGAAGCAGTGGACCTTCATTACCCACGGTGGATTTCTGGTTATCAATCGTCGAGGTGTGTTATTTTCGAGTTTTGCCGCTTGTGGTCATCTAGATGTGTATATTATTTGCCCTAGGAGTAGGAACACAATCAGCTCGTTTCTTTCGTTTTCGCTTTTCTTCTCCCTGGAGTTTCTCGTCTTTCTGCGATGCCAAGATTTGCATGTGCTGTTTGGGATTACGACGGGCTTATGGTACATGGTGGTCACACTCTGCCAGATACAGTGATTGACCACAGGCTTACGGTGCATAAGTTGTGTGTGGGAGTGTGTTGTTTGTGTGTGGGAGTGTGTTGTTTGTGTGTGTGTGCCTGTGTGTGTGTGTGTGTGTGTGTGTGTGAGAGAGAGAGAGAGAGAGAGAGAGGAGGAGGAGGGGGAGGACCTATGGAGGCAGAAAAGGAGGGAGGTGTATGGGGAGTGTCTTGCAGCAGGGTACGACTTCTATGGTCGGACCAGGGCCTCACCATGCAGAGTGGAGAAAACAGTTGCCAATGGGGATGACCTCTTCCTCTGGTGACTGAGGGTTGGAAGCATAGCATGTCCTCCCAATGGGACCAAGTCCTCGGAAATTTTGCTTCATTGTGCAGGTCGGTGATGAGGTGTGGTACAAAGGGAATTGAAAGTTGAGGCTGCCGCTGGTGGTGCGTATGCTAACTTCTTCAACAAGATGTCAGAGATACAGGAGGCAAAGTAATGGTTGATGGTGCTCTCGAACGGAGAAAGAGAGGGGAAGAGAGAGCGAGAAGTGAACCACCACAAACCTTTCTTTTGACCTGAGTATCAACTAAGAGGTGTGTGTGATATATGTATATGTACATGATGCACAGAAGGATGGGGGGGAGAGAGAGAGAGAGAGAGAGAAGAGTTGAGCATGAGCCAGAGGAGTTCTTTGAGGCTGCATTGACAAGTGAGAACATGGATGGGCCTGTGAAGTTGTGTCGACATCAAGAAGGGTACTTGTGGCAGGGTCGCCGGGCCACAGAATTTCCACCAATGCTGAGTGTATTCAAGGGGGCAAAGTTTTGGGGTACCACTGTGATGTCATCGTATATGGCGTGGAGAAGTGTGTGGGACAGTAAGATTTTGTGGGAGGTCGTTGGTCCATGAGGGATAGGGAGTCGTCGTTTTTGTGAAGGGGCAGAAGTGATTGGAGATCTGAGGAGTTCCTTTTTTTAATTTTAAAATTTCAACCATACGTGAGATCAGAGATGTCCCTTTTTCTTTCTTCCTGCAGGGAAGTTTGAGGACTTCCCTGGTAACACTGGGGCAATACGAGGAGTTTCTTTATTCTGGTGGCAAAGGTTTGAGGAGTTTGTTTATTCCGGTGTCAAAGGTTTGACGAGTTTCTTTATGTAGATGGGAAATTTCAGGAGTTTTCTTACTTCTTGTGGAGAGAAGTGAGGGCTTTTTTTCCCCCTTCCTACCTGTAGGCAGACTCGAGGATTGTGTCCTTCCTGTTGAAGAGATTGAGAAGTTTCATGCTATGTATGTATCATAAAATTTCATTTCGGGTGATAAAGGTGGAGAAGATTCTTAATTCCCAGTCGGTCTTCTTCTTCTTCCTCTTCCTCCTCTTCTTCTTCCTCTTCTGCTTCCTCTTGTTCCTCCTCTTCTTCTTCCTCTTCTTCTTCTTCTTGTTCCTCCTCTTGGTTCCTCCCCTTCGTCCTTCTTCTTCATCCTCATCGTTGTTCTTGTGGACATTCTTTGTCTTCGTCGTCAACGTTGTCGACCTTCTTCGTCTTCTTCTTCGTTGTTGTCGACCTTCTTAGTCTTCTTCTTCATCATCGTTGACCTTCGTCTTCTTCTTCGTCGTGGTCAACCTTCTTCGTCTTTTTTTCGTCTTCGACCTTCTTCCTCTTCTTCTTTTTCGTTGTTGTTGACCTTCTTCGTCTTCGTCGCTTTCGCCTTCGTCGTCGTCGTTGTCGTTGTCGACCTTCTTCGTCTTCTTTTCCTTCTTCCTTCGACGAGGAAATTGACGACCTTCATCTTCTTCTTCGCCGTCTTTGTCGTCATCGTTAACCTTTCGTCGTTGTCTTCTTGGTCCTTCGTTGTTGTCTTCTTGGTCCTTCGTTGTTGTCGACCTTCTTCGTCACCATCTTCTTCTTCCTTCGTCGTTGTCAACCTTATTCGTCTTCTTCTTCCTTTTTCGGCCTTCTTCTTCATTGTCTTCTTTTTCCTTCACCGTCTTCGTCTTCGCCTTCTTCTCCTTCCCCTCCTCCTTCCCCTTCTCCTTCATCCTTTTCTCCTTCCCTTTCTCCTTCGTCTTCTTCTCCTTCCCTTTCCCTACTTCTCCTTCTTCTCTTCTTTTTCCCTTCTTCCCTTTCGCCTTTCCTCCTCCTCCCTCCTCATCTTCGTCTTCATCCTTTTTCGTCTTTGTCCTTTTTCGTCTTCGTCCTTCTTCGTCTTCTTCTTCCCTCGTCTTCTTCCCATTCTTCTTCCCTTCTTCCCTTCTTCCCTTCTTTTTCCCTTCTTTCATTTCTTCTTTCCTCCTTCGATTTCATCCTCTTCATCTTCGTCTTTGTTCGTCTTCGTCCTCCTTTGTCTTCTTCTTCCTTCCTCTTGTTCTCCTTCTTCCTTCGTCTTCTTCTCCTTCTTCTTTCCTTGTTCCCTTTCTTCGTTCGTCCTCCTCCCTTCTTCATTTTTCCCTCCTCCCTCCTCCCTTTTTCTTCCTTCCTTTTTCTTCCTTGTTCCTTCGTCTTCTTCTTCTTCTCCATCTCCTTCTTCTTCTCCTTAGTCCCAGTCGTCATCGTCCTCGCTCTTTTCCTTCTTCTCCTTCTCCTCCTTTCCCTTCTTCTTTCCTTCTTTACTTTTCTTCTTTCCTTCTTCTTCCTCCTCGCTTCCTTCCCCTTCTTCCTCGTCTTCTTTTTCTCCTTGTGTCGTCGTCTCCTTCCATCGTCGTAATCTCCCTCTTCGTCTTCCTCTTCATCTTTGTTGTCTCGTCGTCGTCCTCCTTCTTCGCCCTCTTCTTTGTAGTGGGTCAGTGGTCATCTCTTCTTTGCCCCTCTTGTCCTCCCTCTTCCTCTTATTCTTCTTTCTCCTCCCTCTTCTTTCCTTCCTTCCTTTCTTTGTCACAGGTCAGTGGTCATATTTTCTTCTCCTCTCGCTTCCTGTCTTTCTTCTTTTTTCTCCTCCTTTGTGGGTTCTTCCCTCCTTTCTTCTTCCTTTGGCATGTGGCAACATCTGTTTCTTTAGCTGATCAGACGGCCTATGAGAGTCTCTCACACATGCCGCCTCACATACCAAGCGCTTGTCAGAACTCCTGTTCTGTGTCGACAAAAGCTGAGGGATCTGCTTGCGACTACCTCTGACCGTCTTGGCTATCTGCGTCTTGATGTTTGCGACCCGCTCATTAACTTATTGCGCACGTTAGTCAAAGGTTGAGCTTGTTCCGTTGTATGCGATAGCATCCTGCTGAACAACACACTGGAAGCTAAAAAAGACAAAAACAAAGAAACTTGCCGTCGTGCACTGCATCTCTATGCCCAAGATGACAGTTCTTTCACATAATTTCATTCCCTGTGATGAAGTCGCTCTGTGAGATTCACTTTGGTATCAGGTTTTCAATCTGACATGCACCCATCCATCCGTCTCTCCCTTCTATCCATCAACATCTTTCATGTCTGTCTGTCGATTCCTCCCGTCCACCCCTCTATCCATCCTAGTGATCTATGTTCCTCGCCGATCTATCCATCCATCCCTCTATATGTCTATCCATCATCTGTCTATCCATCCTTCTCTCCTATTGATGTATGTTTCATCTTGGTCTGAGGGGCGACTACGTATGGCACTCTCACTGTTCTTTTCTTTTCTTCGAGCCTGTATGCGGGAATGTGCTCTGGCTTTCGGCCCTTTGTTTTGTGTGTGATATTTGATACATGTACGAGTTCACCTAACTGAAATGTAATGGGCATAATCCGGAGGAAACCAACGTATGTCTGCGTAGGATCCTCAAAGACTGTATGCGAAACAACTTCAAGCGGTTAGTCCATCCCTCTAAGCAATCACAATGTTCTGGGACGCTGGACCCGTTTTCCAGCAGGTGCTGCTCCCCACCAATAGATGGAGCCTTCCCCGGCAGTGCTAGCGGTGTCTGCTATCACCAGCATCCCTAGCACCCGCCACGGTTGTTTTCACTGAAAAAAA